GTTGTAAAGGAGAAGACATTTCAAATTTGCAATGTGTTGCCTGTTATAAAATCGTGTTGTCTGCTGATGCTGGAAGTTTAATAAGGCAATGACCCTCGTTTCTGTTCATTTTGTTCTTCCTGCTACAGAACTCCGTAATGATCACAAGGATATTACAGATAAAATAGAACAAAACATTCAGCTTTTGCATTCTGCAAAACTTGCTCCAGCAACTGCATCCATTCAAGATTCAGGTCAGCGGCTCATCTGCTATTTTATTACCTTCATTTGATCTTTGTGATATGTCATGCTACTCGAGAGATCTATCAAATCTAATAATTAGTCTGGAACTGAATTTTATCCCCATTTCTGCAAGCAAACTGTGGACATGCTCCATATTGTTTAATGTCAAAAGTGTCTTACTTTCCAATTTGTGGCGTTTTTAACCAAACCCCTAACATGGATCTGCAGATCATAAAAATCAAGATGCAAATGTTGGCATGTCTTCATCCTTCAGCAATCCTGTTGCTGTGGATATGGATTTAGTTGTCAGCAGACCCTTTGCAATAATCGATGAAATCACTGACTTGTCCCCAGCAGCTGAAGATGGTTTACAGCTTGGTGATCAGATTGTGAAATTTGGGGATGTTGAGAAAGGTGAGAATTCGCTGCAGAGGCTATCTGCTGAAGTACAGAAAAAGCGAGGCCAAGCAATTTCATTGCTGGTGATGAGGCACGGCGCTCCCTTGAATTTGACAGTTACTCCGAGATCATGGTCGGGCCGGGGTCTACTTGGGTAAGTTACACTATTTGTCCTGTTTAGCTCGATTCATTTTCTATAGCCATTATTCATCATTCTTGTCTAAGAAGTACGAACTCGTGAAGCTTCTACTTTTACTATAACATTAAAATTAGGTGTCATGATTGTGTTTTTTACTTCTTAGAAAGTCTTGAACACACTGTGTGAAGTGGATTTTATGCTGTATGCCTTTTCCTTTTAACAATTGAATTGGGCACATTAAACCAATAATTCACCATCGAAATCTTGATCAACACAATTGTAATGTTGAAAAGCAAAATTCTGTTTTCAACCATTTACAAGGAAAACCATCTAGGTTTTCAAAGCTTGCCAGTGCTATTACTGAATCGATTTCTTAATCTCATTCACACATTGAGTGTTTCCAAAAAGTTCTTTACAGCAAGTAATTTATTCCGAGTAGAAGTTTGAAAACCAGAGTGTGATAGTATTTGCAAATAGAAGCTGAAAACGACTATTGGTTGAAAAAGTACTTGATGGAAAAGTATCTTAGTATGGCTCTATATATGTGAAAATCAAAATTGCTTGTTAATTTTGAAAAGGGTATTTTTGAATGTAGACATAAATATAATCAGTGATCTAGTGTATTTAACGAAATTACAAGTGGGAAATTTTGACACAACAATTTTCTCAGCTTGGGGTCGAGTCCTCTTTCTTCCACTTTTGTTCTCTTTCCACCTTTTCTCTAGTATTTTTCAATACTTGTACCTATTGCTGTTGCGAATTGTTTTATATACAAAAGAACTCTCTGATGCGTGGAACATTTTCAGGTGCAATTTCCGAGTCTTGTAAATGGCGTCTTGTGCCGCTTGAAATACTAATTGCAGATTTGCCAAGAGTGGAGCTTTTTAGTTTCGTTTCGAAGGGATAGAGTTTGCATCTTTCGAATGAATTTTATGTGATAAATGGGCATGGCCGTAGATTATCATTTCTATTGTATCTCAAATCTTATGCTTATAGGAGATTTAAAAGTTTATCCTGTGTGTGGGCAATATCTTCTTTTCCTTGTTTTAGTTATGTGTTGTGCTCAAGGAGAATTCATTCTAAGGGGTGTCTTTGTCATTGTCAATTATTTTTCTTTCTTTCTTGCTCACATATTTGGCATCACAAATTGTGACTACTATAAGGAGTATTCATATGAATAGCATGACAATTAACGGATATTGAGTTCTTTTTCATTTGAAGATCCAAGATGTCAGAATAGGCCAATGAGAAAAAACCCGAGCTGCTTAACGACAGCAAACCATACATCAAGCAGCTCGCAATTATTCGAAGTAACGTAGTAAAAAGCTCACTTCACCTTTTCATGTACAGAAGCAACTCCAAAGCTTACTCTCTGCAACTATAATTAAATTTGTCAGAGAGATAACAACCTCAGATACACAGATGACCGCTCGTCGCAACGCGGTAAAATTAAAATTTATAAATTCCTTATTCGACTTCTACCAACTAGTAGTAGTAGCGAGCAAGGGTCGAACCCACAGGGAGTGTGAATTAAATTGTGAATTTCTCGTATTAATTGAAACTAACAAAGCAATAAATGGGGGGG